AAGGCGGCGGCTGCCAACCTATGTCCTGGAGATGTCATCCTGGCTATCGATGGCTTTGGGACAGAGTCCATGACTCATGCTGATGCACAGGACAAAATTAAAGCAGCAGGTCACCAGCTGTGTCTGAAAATTGACAGGTGCTCCTTTATTAATGGTGTTTAAGTCTGATCTGTTTTGCAGGAAAACCTGAACCAGAATTATACATGGTTTCATCTTCTTAGAAGGAGTGTCACAGGACCTAGGATTTTCACTAGCTTTTTTTTTTATCAGTCACTGTTGTCTGGTTTCACTAAAGACAGTCAATCTAGTAGGTGTTGACAAACCATTTGTAAAAGAATTCTCTGAAATGTTAGAATAATAAAAGAGCCTAAAAGATTTTTTTTCCTGCACTAACCCAGTTAATTGACTATGAAAGTAGAATCATTGGTACTTAATCACAGAATAGCACAACTAGTGTACTGCCGTTTGGGGTCTCCTAAAAATCTCTTGACTTGCCTCAATAGGATTCCGTTAAAATTGGTTGCTAAAATTCTGAATACCATTGGCTTGTTGTACAGAATTCAGCCCCGAAGAATATCACAGTGTGTCAGAGTGCATGTGACTGTGCTAGATACCGAGATTTTTCTGGCCCCCTGAAAAAAATAACAAAATTGAACCTGATCTCTTGCCGTCAGATCCCTGATCTGAAACCATGCAAATAATAATCTGTTAGAGTGGTTATTAGTGTGTGTTTATCCTGTCATTATATTAATGTTGTATTCACAATCTTCCCTGCTGTGGTACAGAAGGATCACTCCATCAGCCCATCTGCTGTTTCGTGGGATGAAGTACATCTCTCCCTGTCTGTAAAGCACATGGTCCCTTAGGGGCCACAGGGTTCCAGGTAGATGCATGAGAAGAGATGGGCTAAGCACATTTCCTTGATCCCAGCAGCAAATCCACCTGGAAGATTACTCAGTCTTCTGTGGGAGCCTGGCTGGGAGGGGAGGCCTAGAGGACTTGCCTTGTGGTCATCTGCAAGTGTGCCTCGAGAATCTCCCTCTCCCCTGTTGTTTCCCACAGGTCTTGGAGGCTGGCTTTCTCCAGAAACTGCACCATGTACTCAAGGCAGTTCTGATCTAGTCTAGATTCCCCAAAAGGACACTAAAAACATAAGACTAATTGGATGGAAAAATACAGAGTGACAGGCAGAAAAGATTGTTTCTGCTTAAACAAGTGAGAGTTGCTAGTATTTTCACAAGCATGGTGGGAAGTTAAAGTATACTGAAACTGAAAGTACCATTAGAATCTGTGGTTTACAAACTTTATTTTGTTTACAGGGCAGAAGCTCGCTTATGGTCTCCACAGGTATCTGAAGATGGGAGAGCCCATCCTTTCAAAATCAATTTAGAGTCAGAGCCACAGGTATGACTGTTATAGTAAATGATATTACATTATTTTTCTTTTTAAATTATGGAGATGCCTTCCAAGAACAAAAAGAGGCAAATATAAAAATTAGAACAAGTCACCTGGTAAAGCAACTGTTTTTCTTTTCTCTCTGAGATTAATTTATGTTATTCATTTTTTTAATTAAGAGAAAAGAGAAGCATACCTAGGTGAACATCTTGTTGAAAGACAAATATATTGTCTTCAAGAAGAATTTAGCCAAATCTACAGAGTTCACCTTTTTTTTTTTTATTTTTTTATGATGAATTTCTGCCAAATGACCATGAGGTAATCTAAGAAGTTTAAGTCGTTAAAACAAAGCAAAGCAAAAACACAGCCTGCCATTTGAAACAGGTGTCTCTAATCTAACTGTTACTGTGAATTTCAATCCTTAAGGTCCTCATCCAGATTTTATTTTACATCCTTCTTTAATTCTCCATTGTGGGATTCTATAATTAAATTTACTTTATGAAAGGAGTTTTGCATTATGTTATCATGATGATATTCAGCTAATGTAACTGAATGTGATATTCAGCCAATGTAGCTGAATTACAAAAGATAAAGGATTTCCCCTCGAGGCAACTCTAATAAGCTAAATTAATCTAATCACCTGATGCTTATCTGACTATGCCTACTTTCAGAAGGTCCAAAAAACTGAAATTAAATCAAACCTCAATTGTGATGTACTGAAAAATCTAATTAAGAAAAGGGTTTTAGAATCTCTATTTGGAAGCTCCTAAGCCTTAGAGATACAGAGATAAAAATTTAATATCCTTTTTGAAATTTGCTCCCAGTAAACTGATTAGGTATTCCCAGTGTGTAGTTTTTCTATATGTCTTGCAAAAGTGAACTGAAACATATTTCTAATTTGTGCCTTAGCAGTGTTTACCCTTTCCAGATAATTAACTCTTGAATTTGTCCTTCACGTTTTCTGCTAGTCTCCATAAGCCTGCGGTTTCTTCTGTGAATAACAGATATAGAAATAACCTAAGTACATGTATCTCCTAGGGCTTCTCAAAGATTTAAACAAAATAATACAAGCAAAGAACTTGGCACATTGAGCTGTTTGTAGAAATGCTTAAATAAATGGTAGCTCGCCTTATTAGCAGTACGGTCAACCCTATCCCAGGCTATGATCACGAAATCTCCCAGCTTTTCTTGCTGGTGAGATAGGAAACTGCCTGTGTGACAGGGTTTCCTAGAGGCTACGAATGCCTTTCTTGTTGCCATTACAAGGGACACTACAAATGACGTGGGATCATAGCTTTATTTCAGTTAAAATGCAATCCCCAGGAAAAGGAGCATTCTGAGCAACATAATCCTTAGAGGGAATGAGTTTATTAGATTCTTGCCCTAGACTTTTGACTGAAGGGAAGGTAGAGTCTGAGCCTAAAAACCTCCTAAAGCAAAACATGTTCCCCAAAGAGTGAACAGGACACAGAATATTCATGAAGGCAGAAACCGGGAAGCTGTTCTGTTCCCTAAGCCCATAGGCATAGCCCACAGTTCGATTAATAATCAACGAGGGTACCCACACAATGCATATCTGTATACCTAACCCTGAATTGTACCCCATAATTGATAGTAAATAAATAAGTAAAAATTTTTTTAAAAGACAAAAGGATGGTAGGAACAGAGGTACTAGATAAGCTGTGCATTTTCTAACCTTGCCAAGGGCCAGTCCTGGGAACCCATTCTCAGAACGATGTTCAGCCATCACCCCCAGCCATTGCATTGTAAAAGTGATCTCAAAAGTTGAGTGGGATATTTAGGTCAGGTAAAACTTTCTGCTCTTTGGGACAAGTGAGCAAAAGATCAAATAAGTGGGACAGCTAATCAATTGTGAAAAGGGATCTGAATGCAGATGGCTCCAAATGCTGGCTCACTTTGGCATTCTAGGTGGGTTAGTGAATAATGACACCTGTAAGCAAACTTTTGTTTGACAGAAGAAAAGATTAGAAGAAGAAAAAATAAAGTGTATTAGACTGGGCTATCACTTCTGTATAGCCCTTTGCGGAAATGCCCAAGTCTACCTGTTTCATCCCACTCTCGTCAACATATCACTTGGAAGCAACACCTGAGAAAAAGAGATTATATGGTGCTTAAGGAGAAGGAAGGAAGGAAGGAAAGAAGGAAGGAAGGAAGAGAGGGAGGGAGGGACTGTTAAGGTCTATACACATGCATTTATTGGCCACCCAACCTCTTAGCATCACCTGGACAAACTGGATGGAATTTTACACTTCCTTTTCCATACACAGCACATGTCCAAAATTGTATGGCATTATTTTGCAAATTATTTTTCCATTCAAAGTTTCTCCTAGTTTTTTAAACCCAAATTTATCAATATGAGAGGTCAAGCATGAGGCCAATTAGATTCAACCAGAGTACCAAGTCCCCAGTGATCCTTAATTACAGTTACATCTCCCACCCTGATGGGTAAGGTGATTGAGCAAATATTTCTTAAGCGCAAATGAGCTTAGACCATGATGGTAGCCCATGTTTTGCTAACATCTTTCCAGAATTGGAGTTTAAGGGTAATTCTCTGAGTTGTAGCTCTAGAAGAGGCCTCTCTTGCAAGTTTATGAGTATTGGTTCATGACCATGCTTATTCTAAGAATTGGATTTTAAGGCATAATTCTGTTTGTAAATACTCTGACCTTTTGTCAATCATGTCTTTGCCCATGTGTACTGAATATGAGGGGGGACCCAAAGTAGTGAAATTTATTTATTTAAAAATTGTGTATTTATTCTTACGTATTTAAATTTCAGTTATCTTAAAAATACTCTCCTTTTGATGCAATATATCTATCGAGATTTTTTTTCACTGCTCAAAACAGGTTTTGAACTTGTCAATTTTGATGCCTTTTTAGTGCTTCTGCCCTTTTTTGTTTCGCCTCTTCCACATCAGCAAAACATTTCCCTTTGTGGACTGTTTTCATCCAGGAAATGAAAAAAAATGTCCCTCGGGGCGAGATCAGAATAGAGAGGGTGGGGTCCGGGAGCCGTGCTGCTTGGGGTCTGCAGAAAGGCAGCAGGCTGTGTGGACAGGTTCGTTGTCATGGTGAGAGAATCAGTTTGCCACAACTCAAGACGTTTCTTCTGCCAATCATGACTCGCCCTTTTCAAAGCGTCCATATAAAAACTCTGGCTGACCATTTGATCCAGAGGAACAAATATCCAGTATACTACAAGAGGTCCACCCTCCAAAAGATAACTTGGACTTTTTTGGAGGTTCCCCCTTGTATGGAGGTTAGAAAATATAATATTTCTGATACTAAGAATAGATGAAAGGAAGTAAAACTGTTTTTCTTTTAAGGTGAAGATTAAGTTAAAGGCTACCACAGCCAGTCAAACGGAGCCTTGAAACATTCCACTAGTTTGAGTCATGACTAATTCTTACTGGTATCCTCTCCAAGAGGCCAGTGTTTGAAGGGCTCAGAGGTAAGAAGAATTTCAGTCCTTCTAATGGACCAAAGTCCTTATGAGACTCAATCAATTCATATAACTAGGTACTTCAAGACACACCACCCTACACAAAACAGCTAAATTGCAATACATCCCTTGCTATCTGAAAATCCAATATCGTGAACTAGTGCAAAATGTGGTGATAAAAATTAAATAGTGAATTTTTTGTGTGTAAAATACATATATATATATTTTTTAATTGTGGGGTACAATTCAGGGTTAGGTATACAGATATTCATTGTGCAGGTACCCTTGTTGATGAAGTGTGCCCGCCCCCAGGTAAACAGTGAATTTAATATATGAACAGAGATTGGACAAAAGCTAAGCAATGGTTATATATTTTTGTTTTGTTTTATTTTGTTTTTTAAGCATTGCAAAGCTATACAAAAGGATTTTTTTTCAAATGACAACTCTGCAAACAGAGCAATCTTCTGGGCATCAAAGGTGGGACAGTCGGAGAAACAAATACTATTACTATGTTGTGCTTTAAAATGTCATTGGAGATGACTATCGAAATCCCATTGAGCAATATGATATTTGAGTGCTTGTTTCTCAACCCAAGTCAAACTTTTATTGTAAGTTATGTGACCTTTGCTGTTAGAATAAAATACCCATTTTCACTTTCAAATAAAATATCTGTTAATTGAAAAAAAAAAAAAAAAAACTATATCCTACCATTCAAGCCCAGCCACAGATAATAAAATTTTCATATGTTCATTTCTGGTCTATTTCCCTAGGCATAGATAGGTTTGGGCTTGGGGAACTTTAAAAAAAATTTTTTTTTTCATTTTTCCATGCTATTATTAAATAGTTAAATTTTATTTTTTTATGAATTTAGACTTGAATCTTAGGCTTAAAAGAGACCTTAGATGTTGTTTAGATCAGCTCTCAGAACTTGAATAAACTACCGTCTCACAATCCTGAACATGATCTATGAGCAGACATATGCATTTTTCTGTACAAAGCGTTGCTTTATATTAACGGTATATTGTCAGAGCTCCTTATCCTTCTTCAAAGCCTACATTCGCAAATAAATCATTACCCTCATCTTTGTTTAATGTTAGTTGAACAACTCAAAGGTATAATGTGCCTATCACAATGCAGGAACGATTCTTTTCAGAAATATTAAAAATAAAAATGGTTCTTTTCTAAACAAGAAGAAAGCTGTTTCCATTTCCATATTAAAGATTGCATCCTTGCCATAGAAGATTTGATAATAAAAAATGAACTTATGTTCACAGTCAAGAGAATATGAATTGAAGTCATTTATATTTTAATAAAATTAACTTCAATCTACAATGGTTTGATAACTGGAAGGCAGCCTACACAAAGCAAACTTCCATAATCACCATTTCCCCAAAGTCTTCCCCGAGGAGATACAGAAAACACTTGAAACAGATCACAGGAGAAAAAAATGATGATTAATAAGGATGAATTTATTTTTCATTTGAGGGGTGAGTATGAGGAGGGGGTGATTATAAATTTCAAACGTGGTGACATATAATCATTTTTCCATTGTGCCTTGATCAAGCACATGATCATCTCATATAGTTTGTTTCTCTTATTTCCCCACCATTTTTTTCATATACGAAGGGTGCCAACAAAACATATACACATTTTAAGAAAGGAAAAAACTATTAAAATTGTTACACCCGATATATACCAATAACAAAAGATGAATACAAGTCACGTTTGACTTCTGCAGTTACAAGAGGTGCTCACAGTGGTTACTATCAGCGCCTAGACATTTCTGGTTATGACAAACTAAAAGTAATACATAGGTAACATCTCTTAAAATGTGTATACATATTTTTGGCATCCCGGTATGTACAATTTGATTCATATAATAGTCAAACATGCTGTTTCTGTTGGAGATGGTTCTCAATTATGAAGGTTGCTTGAGTATTTATGTGGGAACAATTTCTCTGGGTAAGAACTTGAAAGGTGAACTCTCTTGGACTGCTGTCATTACTGAGGTCATTCCAAGGACTTGGGAGATTGCCGTGAAGAGCTGCATTCTCCCAGTGTCAGGGGAGTTCTGTCAAGTCAGTTACTTGGCTTTCATTAATTCAAAATATTATTTCTTAATATAAGCTCCTAACCTTTTAAAATGTGTTAACGGGAATAAGTGTTTATTGAATTTCTAAGAGATAAGCATTATTTGGGTGATTTTGTCAGAATAGAATAAACACAAGAGCTGGACTATATATTCATTGCTATAAACATTTTTTACTGGTAGTTTGGTTAGTCAAGACTTTTCTAGAAAATGTAAAAAGTAATTAAGTGGAACGGCAAACTTCTAATAGGCTTTGTCTTTTGATTCTGTTTGACCGTCAGCAATGACGTAAGCCTTGGATAGAATGTTGCCTCTCAGTGCCCTGCTTAAATTTCTTGTTTACCTTTGGTGTTTAATCTTCCTTGTGCTTTTTTGGAATGACTGTAGAAGTCCATAAACTAATGCTTTGCAAAGCCTAAATAAAAATGTTTGCAGCCTATATTAGAAACACTTTCTTTTATGATCTGAGTAGAAAATAGAGGGATTTTTTTTTTTAGTAAATTATGTATTTTTGACTTGTGGATATATATAATCAAAACAAAATAGCAAAGAAAAGGCTTGGAGCTGATTAACTTGTGCTGCTATTTGGAAGTACTACTAGAGATTATTAATGCACAAATATTTCAGAGAAGTCGCCTCATTTGCAGGACAATCACCATTCATATTTGTTTATCATTGTAGGACTAGGAAGGAATAAAAGCAGAGATTTTTCTTTTCCTCACAAACTAGCTTTTGTAAATTCAGTTCTATTTACCAAGACTCTAAGGCCATATTCTGTTAAAATAAATAAATAAATAATAAAAAATGAAGTTCCACAAAGCTTAATTGCTCAGTCCTGCCTAATTCACTTTTTAATTCACCTAGCAATTTATAATCCACTAGAACTAAAGTGGGCAATTGGGCAATTAACCTCGTCTCTTCTTTCATATCAAAGAGGCTCGAATCATAGCCATTGTCATTACTTACAATTATTTCCAGTTCACTGTTTCCATGCCACAATAATGGCTAAACATAATAGTTAATCATAAAACTCAGTCAATCTAAAGTAATTACTAAATCAGCTAAAACAATCACCTTGTATTTTTAGATATTAATTTGGCGACACACATATTCACAGGTTCTAGGATGCATCTTTTTTCTAAAGCTATATTTGATTGTTTCAATCATTCTACCTGGTGGCAGCTACAATAGTGTCAACCAACCAACTCCTCAGCAGGGCCATTACTATGAAGGAAAAGAGTTAAATGAACAAGATATCAGTCAAATCAATGTAGAGTCACAGGCTAAACTGTATTCAACTCAGTCCTCCTTTCCAGGTTCTGGAGGCTGTTAAAATACGCTGCCTATGGTTGGTGAGAGAACAGCAGTTCTTTCCCAGGGACCATGAGATTCGAGGCAGCTGGAGCCAAAGGCACAGTAGGCTAGGATTGGGAGCCCCATCTGTCCTGGCATGACTGTTTTTTGAAAAGTGGGCTTTGATGGGGGAAGAGGGAGTTCATGGGGTGACTCCCTGCTCGGGAAAACCAAAAGAAGGCATTTTGCAGCTTGGCCCCACAGAAAGTTTTCATATACTCAGGCACAAAAATCTCTATACAGAAACTCTGGTCCACTCCCCCCCCACCCCCACCCCCGCCCGGGGAAGAGAGATCATCTCTTCTTTGCTTCCTTCTTTTTTCTTTTATAACTGAAAAGCACCATCCCACAACTTACTCATCTGTATTGACTAGAAGAAAAAAAAAAATGATGTGAGCAAGAATATTATAGGGTCTTTTAATTTCTTAATGAAAATGGCCTCTTCCCAGTAACATTTCAAATAATTATACACCTTTATGCCATTTCAAATCTGTGTGAATGTGGTGGTACATCCACAAAGGTAAATAAAGTTCATGTGTATGTGTAGTGAAAATATTGTTGTAAAGATTGCAGCCAAAATAATTTCTAATTTGGTCAAATAGAAAGATTTAGAAGAGAATTGGCTCGTGTGTACTTTAGTATTCCCTTTTGGCTTTGTTCTGTTGCTTAAAAGAAAAAAATTGTAATGGCTTTACAAAATTATAAATGTACAAAATCTGGAATCATGAAAAAATATGATTCCTACACCAAAAAACAATAATATAGGGTTTCAGATCATTCAGACATCTTTCAAACTCAGGGTTTATGACTCTGATGTTTAGACCTTTTCTCCAACAATAGAAACCTTTTTGTGAATCATATACATAAGCTTTCTCTGAATTACTGACTTTAGTCTTTCCTAGACTAAAAGTAAATATGAACTAGAGTAAATCTGAAGAGTTCTTTCAACACAACATGAAATCACAAAAAGAGGAGGTTCTATATATATTATTTCTGCTTTCCTAAAAAGTCTTTTAATTCTTGTTATTTTTCTAAAATTAAGATTATAGCTTAAGAATTTGGTTTTTTGCTGTTGAAGGCATTTTTAAAAAACAGAATCTTTACCTGGGTTAGTTAAAATGACTCAGTATAGTTATTCTCTCGTTTCTCAAAACGAGGCAAAATTTATCAAGATATTAATAGAAGGGAAAGCATATGTAAGTTTTACTTGGAAAATGTTAACTATAGTCATATTTTCGAAACCAAAAATCTCATCTATGACACAAAGTTTCTGTTTTCAAATGAGTTATTAGAATTTTATAAAAGCTATAGATGAAGTCAGTAGGGGACAGACAAGAGATACAATGTTTGAATTATTCTATAATATTTTATTTTATTTTATTTTATTTATTTATTTTTGAGTTGGAGTCTCACTCTGTGGCCCAGACTGGAGTGCAGTGGCTGCTCCCGGCCACTGCAGCCTTGACCTGCTGGGCTCCGGCGATCCTTCCGCCTCAGCCTTCCGAGTAGCCAGAACCACAGGCGCGCGCTACCACGCCCAACTGATTTTTTGATTTATTGTGGCGATGAGGTCTCGCTGCCCAGGTGGGTCTCGAACCCACGGGCTCAGGCAATCCATATTCTATAATATTTTAAATAAGGTCAATTCCCTTCGCACCTTCAAATTTAGTAGATGAATATAGCACATATAAGTTCCAAAGAAAATCATAGACAGGTTTCTACCCAACTCCTCCTCTAACCTTCCATTCATCTCATGGGTAAAAATGCCTTTATTAACAACGGCAGTGCTGACAGTTTTGCTCATTAACGGCTTTGTTGTGCACTCTGGCTCTGTGTGTTTTGTCTGCCATTGTACAGGAATTCAAACCCATTGGTACCGCGCACAACAGAAGGGCCCAGCCTTTTGTTGCAGCAGCAAACATTGATGACAAAAGACAGGTAGTGAGCGCTTCCTATAACTCGCCAATTGGGCTCTATTCGACTAGCAATATCCACGATGCGCTTCACGGACAGCTGCGGGGTCTCATTCCTAGTTCACCTCAAAAGTAAGTATTGAACTCTCTGTTCTGGCCACAGCGTACTGGACAGTGATAGCATGGTTTCTTTTCCTTCCCAAAGTCCAGCTCTTGCTGTTTTGTTTTTACTTTCCCGAAGGCTCTATCAGACTTTTATTTTAAAGACAAGTATCTAGAATATGGGTCTAATTGTTCTGGAGTCCAGTCAGCCGTTTCCTGGACCTTTAGTGATAGATGATGGAAAAGAAGAAATCGTCCTGGTTCCATCATCACCCTTCCTAGTCATGACAGTGTTTGGTGGTAAATAATCCTCTCTGTACAATTGTTGCTCATTTAATTTCATCTAAAAAAAATTTCACTGAGGGGCCTTTCTGACCCTTTGTTTTTACAGGATGTGAACTACTTTGAACACAAGCACAATATTCGGCCCAAACCTTTCATAATCCCAGGCCGAAGCAGGTCATAAGCTCTGAGATTGTGAAGTGTGGAGTGCATGCTTCTTAAATCAGTTTCTACTAATCACCAGGAAAAATAACCTTTAGATGTTTGGTGTGACTTTTCATTGTGAAGCTTATTTCAAAAGCAAAAAGAAACAAACTCATTCAGCAGAGAACAGTAGCCAAATAACCTCCATTTCCAAGAGTCAATATTGACAAGATTGCAGAGCTGTGAGATTATGCTCTCATCACGTATATTTATAGCTAATACCACTGCTGCTCTGGGGATCCCATCTAGCACACAGTGACCTTTGAGTTGGCCAGACATACTCATCCCAGTTCAGGAAAGTCCTGCCAGCGGGAACAAAAACGGAAACCAGCCCCTAGTGAGGAGAAAGGAATTGGATGGTGTACAAGTGGGAAAGCTGATGTCTTATGAGTTTGAAAGACTCTGGTCAGCCCACCTCCATTCTCACTGCACCTTCAATCTCCACGAACTCTGGCTTTTACATAAAAATATGTCTGCCCTCTTTGGATCCTGGCAAAGGAAGAGAGGCCCCTTGGATAGGAACTTTCCCACATGGGTGAAAACAAGTATAATGTAGGAGTTAGGAGTAGAGGAGGCATATTGGTTACCCTCGTGGACAGTCCTGGCCAGGCTGGAATAATAATGAGCAAGCTCTTAATTCTTGTCTGCCAATCAGAGAAACTGATTATCTTCACATGATCCTTTTCAAATAGCTTCTCTAGAAATTAAACTTTAGCCTAAGAGGAGAGAAACGAATGCCCGGTATTGCCACCTCAGGAAAGATATAGTGATTTCAGGAGCCCACAGACTATCCCTCTGACCTCAGCTAAGTCAGTCAGCCTAGAGGAAGGAAGTTGCTTAGACGACTGTACTGAACAGGACCGAAGAATCATGATTTACATCAGGTGTCCCCAGCTGGTGGCCCATAGGTGGATTCAGTTCACAGACGTATTTTATCTGGCCCTCCTGTTGTTTTACTTAAAAATTGAATGTAAGTGCCTTTAGAGGGAACATTTAAACTCACCAGCTTGGCAAAATGCCCATCATGCCTAGGTGTAACACCTGGCTCGTGATGGTGTTTGTGTGTCCCTTCTGATCCCTGAAGATAGTCAGTCATCACTTGATATATGACTCCAGTGTGCAGACTTTCCAATAGGCTAGAGGCAGTCCAGAGGGTTGTTTCAAGATAAGCCGGACAGTTTTTGCGGTATCAGACCCAGAAAAGAGCCCTGGACGGAAGAGCAGGAGAAAGATGCTGGGAAGGCAATTGCAAGACAGGATGCCCTTCCTCACCAGGACGTGCGCTTGGTGTCCACAGGAGCCTTGGCTGACGGGTCCCTAGCACCTAGAAACATGATCAAATTAATGCTCAGGAAACAAATATTTGAAAATAGGCAAAAGAAAAGCTCCATACGTGTTCATTTGGATAAGGGAATAAAATCCTGAGAGCCCTCAAGGATATTTTTTGAGTGAGGGGAGAGAAGACTCTACAGCTGACATCCCACCTTGTGCTCACAGCTCTGCGTGGTCCTTTTCTCCTGTTTGTTCCCTGGTTGCCATTTTGTTTTCCTCTGCATCTTTGCCCTATTACTGCACTTTCAGTAGCATCCCTACCCCATTCCACCCCCAATAACGTAACAGCACTGGACTAAAAGGTAAAATGATATTTTACTGTCGAATAAGGCCATATGCTACTTCCCAAAGAAGAATAGGAAAATTAGTATATGGGTACTTGCATTCTTTTGAGGTTAGTATGACAAGCCCCTAATTTGCACTACAGACTTCAGGAGGCTTCAATAAAATGATACATTATAGCAAAACATATCCTGCCTTTACTAAAGACTGATAACAATTTTCAGTTTATAAAAAGTCAGAGAGACCCAGTCATATAATCCCTTCCTTTTATATTTTCATTTTAATTTAAACATGGTGATAATGACAAACCACTCAATTTTGTCATTTGAAGGAAACTTTTTTGTTGTTGTTATTGGAGTCTCACTCTGTCACCCAGACTGGAGAGTAGCGGCCGCTCTCGGCCACCGCAACCTCGACCTGCTGGGCTCCGGCAATCCTTCCACCTCAGCCTTCAAAACAGCCGGAACTACAGGCGTGCACTACCATGCTTGGCTCATTTTTGATTTATTGTAGAGATGAGGTCTCGCCAAGTTGCCCGGGCAGGTCTCGAACCCGTGGGCTCAGGCAATCCCCTCGCCTCGGCCTCCCAAAGTGCTGGGATTACAGGCTGAGCCACCGAGCCCAGCCTGAAGGAAACAATATAACTGAGGTCAGGAGAAGAGGGGAAGAAAGAAACAAGAATTAGATGATTTGCTGAAAAATCAAGTGCCAGTGTGCAAATCTTAAAGAACTGTAAAAATGCTTCTACCCTTCCTTTCTTCCTGGACTTCCTCACCATTTGTTGTAACTTCTGACTTTTTTTTTTTTTGAGTCAGAGTCTCGCTCTGTCGCCCAGGCTGGCGTGCAGTGCCAAGCTCATGGCCACTGCAGCCTCGATCTGCTGGGCTCAGGTGATCCTTCCACCTCAGCCTTTCTAGTTGCTGAAACTACCGGTGCATGCTACCATACCTGGCTTATTTTTGGATTTATTGTAGAGATGAGGTCTCACCAAGTTGGCCAAGCTGGTCTTGAACCCCGGGGCTCAGGCAATCCTCTCGCCTCATCAAGGTGGAATTTTGAGTGGCTGCATACCAAGCTATAGCTACTCTTAATGTATATGGGTACTCATATTACTGGCATACATGTGACACTTTGATACAAGCATACACGGTGTAATGATCAAGTCGGGGTCATTGGACTATCCATCACCTCAACCAGTTATCATTTCCTTGTGTTGGGAACATCCCAAATCCATTCCTCTAGTTATTTTTGAAATATACAGTGAGTTACTGTTAACTCCAATCACCCAATAGCTACACTATTAGTGAACAGCATCTCCAATCGGAAGCAAGTTGGACCGTCTAAGTTATTGATCTCCCTGGGGTTTTACTACTAGCCATGGTCCTTTTAATTGTTTCATCTTAACTGAAGTCTTTTAAAAGACTGGTGTCTTCATATGCAAACATGTAAAATGGTTAAGGCTAAAGCTATAATTAAAAATATATACAAGGCATTTTTAGATCCAAGTGATAAAATGCAATCTTATGAGTGGTTTTTGGACAAGTCTCTTCCAGGAGCATGCCTCAAAAATTCAGGGAAATCAGTTCTCTGTCAAATGACCTATCTGGGCATGAAGTAATTGAGTACATCAGCAACCTTACAGGTGGTCTTGCCAGTCTCTAAGTGAACCTCAAGAAATCTTCCTAGCACCTAACCTTCCGGGACACCAGGCACAGGTCATGGATATGATGATATGCACAGTGACCAGAGTCCAAGAAAACTGTCTTACTGAAACTAGCAGTGTAAGGACCAGGCGCAGCGGCTCGTGCCTGTAATCCCAGCCGTGGGGGGAGGATTGCTTGATCCCAGGAGTTCAAGACCAGCCTAGACAACATAGTGAGACCTTGTCACTAAAGAAAATAATAATAATAATAATGAACCAGGCATGGTGGCACACACCTGTAGTCCCACCTACTGGGAGACTGAGGGGGAAGGATCACCTGAGCCCAGGAGATTGAGGCTGTGGTGAACCATGATGGTGCCACTGCACTTCAGCCTGGGTGACAGAGTGAGACCCCACCTTAAAAGAAAATCCACAATGTAAAGTATCGGTGTGAGACACCTTGTAAAATTGTCCCAGAAATATATTAAAAGTCTTGTTTGTTTGGGGTTTATTTCCCATCTACATAATAGACACAAGTCCCTAATGGAATGACAAAAGAACTAGAAAATAGAAGATACAATTATTGCTTAACTAAAATTCTGTAGTGCAAATATGCATGTACAGTTAACCGCTGATCAACATGGGTTTAAACCATGCAAGTCCACATACACACATGAATTTTTTAAAATAAATATATCAGAAAAATGTAGAGAGATTTGCAGTAACTTGAAAAAACTCACAGATGAACTGTATGGCCTTGAAATATTGAAAAAAGAAAAAGGTAAGTTATGAATACATAAAATACGTAGATACTAGTCTATGTATCTGTTAATAGACTGCTCATGTTATCTTTAAAGCACCTGTTCAACGGTAAGCTATTAGTCCAGTTTTGGAGGAGTCAGAATTTGTACCTGAATTTTAGACCATTGGGGTGTTGGTGCCCCAACCCCTGAGTTGTTTAAGGGTCAACTGTAGACAGAAACACTAGTAACAGAAAAAGATGACTAAACATGGTATAAGTTCTAAATGAATCAAAGTTCATCTGTCCTGTGCCGGCACCTGCCTGGCACACAGTCAGATGAGATTAGCTGTAAATGCTTGTTGAGTAGGCTCAATATTTTGAGCCTAAAGTGTCCCAAGATTTAACTCAGTGTTTCAAATTCCTAAACTACAATGACATAAGCTTCATTACACTCAGGTCAAATCAATATTATACTGACTAGACTGCACTACAAGTGAAAATTTACTTCTAGTCTTTCACCAGCTGGAGTCCATTTCAAGAGCTAGTGTGGTGTTAAACCTACAAAAACAGTCACTAAGCCACTTGCCATTTTGGTATGTAACCTAACCATTGTACCGATGGAGTTGTAAACAGGTCCTCAAAATCCAAGAAGTGAAGGAGCAAGCCTATATTTATACCTGCTTGGTTCAGGCTAGTGGTTAAATTGAGTAATGTCAGATACACACAAAAATTAAAAATCTGGTTGTGTAGGTTGTCCAGACTGATCAGATTGCAATACTGGTGAAGTCAATCACTGCCCAATATCCTTATAGTTTTTGTCCTTTATATGGAGCTGAGGTTAGCATTAATAGCTCTAGAGAGTAGGGAGACCATACTTGAGACCTGAAAAATACTGACTTTGAGATAAACACACCGTATAAATCCATTCTCTGTCTAGAGTTTACAGCAACACTAACTGGGAAGTATGATAGATGTTTACTTGAATACTAATATTTCTTTTTGCTTTGTCAGAAATTACAATGCATTTTTAAAGATCTCTTAGACTATTGCAATCTTTTACAAAATGTCACTCTCATACTGTACTTAAAATGCACATAGAAAAATGACTTTTTAGTCACAAGCATGTCTGCTATGACTGACCTCTATACAGTATCATACAGAATAGAAATCTTCCTAATACTTAAATCTGCATGACTGGGCTTTCTAATATTTTAATAATAAGTCCCCAAAACTTGTCTTTAAAAGGAAATTAGAAATATGCATGGAAATATATGTGTGTGCTTCCAAACTTTTACGTGAAATAGCTATGTATAAAAGAAATATATCTTTAGCCCTACATAGTATCCAAAGAATCAAAGACCAACTTATTTGCCTTCTAATCATTAATTTCAAGGTGACAAGCATTTATTGGCTGTCTCAAGAGCCTGTATTGAACCACTGAACAGTTTTTTTAGAAAATATTAAAATATTAACAATAAAATATTTACAAAATAGCCTTAAAACATCTCGTTACCACATAACCTGCAAGTTGCCAATTACTATTCAAGTTCAATTGCATTACTGAAACAGACTTCTGATTCTGAAATATTTAACCAAAGTATTTGATTGAATCTTCATGCTATATATTCAGTAACTATTTGTGAAGAATCATTCCTTAGTACTTTAATTTTAAGTATTTTACTTCAGAAATGTAAAAGGATGTCCAGCCAGTACAAGTTCCCTCCATCATTTGTCTGTGATATTGTCAAGTTTAAAATGACTTGGCTTGTATGTTTAAAATGTGAGGATAGCTGCACCTTTTCTACTTACTTTATATACAACTTCTACATGAAACCCTCCGCTTGCCTATCGTCCAGTAGAACCCAGTCAAAAAATGCAATCACCTATACCTTTTAATTATATTAAACTCATCAATCAAGAATTTTTAAACATCTTCTCTTTTTAAAATAAATTCGGAGCATAAATACACATCTTGTTCTCGTTTGATATAATTCACCTCTTACTTTGCATTCCATTCCTTTTCACCTCTCTGCTTGTTCTCTGTGTTCTTCTGTCTGGATTGTCTGGTCCCTTGTGCCATCTTTGTGCGATGTGGTCATTAACACAGTGGATGCAGCACTCCCTCCGGGATTGACTGTGGCAGTGGACGCAGCACCCCTTCTTCTGTCAGTACTGTTAGTACCATTTGCCCAGGTGACTTGAAAGTTGCGGCTAAGATGGCCCCTAACATTCCTTTGGAAATGGAACTTCCTGGTGTGAAGATTGTACATGCTCAGTTTAATACACCTATGCAGTTGTACTCAGATGACAATATTATGGAAACACTTCAGGGTCAGGTTTCGACAGCTCTAGGGGAAACACCCCTAATGAGGTAATATGAGTCTTTTTGAACCATAGGCTTATTAACTAAACACGTGGGCAGTATCAACTTTACTGGTGTCTTGTAACATTGTCTTAATTGAAAGAAACCTTCGTGAAAAGCTTTTCTAAGATACTAAAGATTTATTGCAAATATTGAGGCCTGATGATAAGTTGATTTGAGGAATTGTTTAAGTAAAACTTTATGCAACAGATTGCAATAAAATGAAAGCATATAAGGACCAAATGTATATGTCTCTTTAAAGCCACAATGTACTTTACAAATGTCTTGTGTAATACTTCTCAAAAGTGATTTATAATCTAGTATACCATATACCTGTCCTTGGGGTCAAAAATTAGGAATGGAGTAGAAGTTTAGAGGAATTTAAGAGATGATACCTCTTCTCTCCTCTGATGGCAGCTTGTGGAAAAGTCATTACTTTTCCATTTAAAATGTTTATAGTGTATAAAGGCTATTAATACAGATTTTAATTTTTATTTGTCTCTATTTTGACTAAGTTTTTCTTTATTATGACTATTTTTTCAAAGAACTTTTGCCATCAATTTTTTTATTAAAAATATTATAGGATAAAGTTTTATTACTTCTCTCACTATTACATAATCATTTTTTATAAATTAAAGTATTGTAATGCTTAAGTAAGCCATGTAATGATATTCCAAAGATATCTCTTGGAATGAATACATTGAACTAATAATAGCATAATATATCTCAAAGTCATTTTGCAAAGAATTTCAGATATATAATGACTATTTTAAAATATAATATGGGTAATAAAAATCTATGCAGATAGCAAATATATTTTCTATATATTGCAATTAAATGACAAAATAATTAAGTATTTAATGCTTCACCTGTAGTATTATGAGGAATTTTTGTTGTTCATCATGAATATTTTGTAGAAAGCATACTAAAATAAAGCTGCTATCATTATTGTAAATGAATTTTAATATGACTATTTTTGAAATATAGTGTAGTCAATATAACGGAAATACAAATTTAAGTTTCTGTACCGTGGAATTTCAAACACTGAGAGGTTGAATTTCTCCAGTTCACAAGTAAAATTATACCTTTGTTATTTTCAGGATTTAACAAAGCAAATTAATGGTAAAAACAAACTGAAATTATATACTTTTAGTTTAACATCAAAAGCATATCTGAAATTTATTGACAATTTTATGACTGAGAATAATCAAACTAGGTTCACTCCTGCCCGTTCTATCATGTGTACAGGGAGAGAGGGACTCCAAAAACCTGGAATTTATCTATAAAAAAACTGCATTTATTTTTACAAGTTTACACTTTGGTCACTTTCAAAGTACTCTCCATTTGATGCAATACACCTATTGAGATGCTTCTTCCACTGCTCAAAACAGTTTTGAACTTGTCAATTTTGATGCCTTTTTAGTGCTTCTGCTGTTTTTTTTGTTTTGTTTTTTTCACCACTTCCACGTGGGCAAAGTGTTTCCCCTTGAGGCCTTTTTTCATCTGGGGAGACAAAAAAAAGTCACTCAGGGTGAGATCAGGTGAATAGGGAGAGGGCGGGACACGGAAGTCGCTGGTTTGGGTCAAAAACTGCAGAACACTCAGTGCAGTGTGGGCACATGCACTCATAAATCACCCATCGTGAAATGGGCAAATGTTGAAAGAATCTCCAAAAAGATTTCACTGAGGTTGAACGTAGCCTTTCAAAACAATGTGAGCTAGTTCACTGACTCCAGTGGGTTTCTAGAACATTTACCTAGTGAGGGAACCCTGTACTATAAGGGGTCTGCTCTCCAAAAAATAATTCTGAGTTTTTGGGGGTTCCCCCTTTGGATATTGTCTTTTTTCTGAGAAAAGTTAATTTTGTTCACACGTATGATTATATATCCATCAGATACGAGTCTTATTTTTTAAAACTACTATTTTCTAACAGTTGTCTTTTAGTGTCTCTCTGAAGTAGTTTGCCAAATGGAGAAGTGCTGATGTGATTGCCAGGTTTATTGCTCAATGACGTTTTTAGGCAGCCCATGTGAATTCATATTTACTTTTCATGGCAATAGAGGTTTACTTCAAATACGAGCTCTCTGTTCAGGAGTTGCTGCCTAGTGAGATCTGTGGCCTCTGGCACGTCTGGGCCCTCCAGCACTCCTGACCATGCCCCCGCTTCGTGCCTGTGTTACAGTGAACCCACAGCCTCCATGCCTCCCCACTCCGATGTGTACCGGATGCTGCACGACAGTCGGGATGAGCCCGCCCAGCCTCGCCAGTCGGGCTCCTTCAGAGTGCTCCAGGAAATGGTGGACGGCCCTGGTGAGCAGCCGTGGAACCGCTGACACGTGACTGGTAGAGGCGGTGGCAGGAGGAGGGGGAGGGGAGGAAAGGCCTGACCCGGGGTTGTAATCAGTAGCCACATGACTCTTCGGTTGCAAGTATTTGGGTGGTGCCTGGTTTAGGAAAAGAGGTTCTAGAACGTGTCCAAGTAGCCACCCACTGAAACCGGTCATTAAAAGACGCCAAAGACAAAGTTCATCCATGGCAGTCAAGGGCTAGCTCAGCTAATGAATCAGAAGATACTGTTTTGAATGAGTGTTGCTAAATTCCTTAACTCCCCGCACACTTCAGTGTATCATCATCAAGTTTTTAAAAAAACCACTGTCACGAACACTTACTATGTTCCAAATTCTGTGCTTATTTGCATACATAATCATTTAATCCTCACAGACACTCTTATTTGCCCTGTGTGACAGGTGAGTGACTAGGGCATGGTCTCGCACAAGGCCACATGGCCGTGAGCAGCAGAACTGGGTCTCCAGCTGGCCCCTGCCATTTTCAGGGCTTCTGATCTTTGATATTCCGTGCCCAAAATATATATACCATCCGTCAAAAGTCACACAAAATGCAAAATATCCCATTAGGACAGTGACTACCAAAAACTGGAAAATAACGGGAACCCTGTGTCTTGCTGATGAAAAGGTAAAATGGTGCGGCCGTTACGGGAACCAGTATGGGCATTCCTCAAAAGTTAAACAGGGCCGGGCTCGGTGGCTCAGCCTGTCATCCCGCACCTTTGGGAGGCCGAGGTGAGTGGATTGCCTGAGCCCGTGGGTTCGAGACCCACCTGGGCAACTTGACGAGCCCTCATCTCTACAACAAATCAAAAATTAGCCGGGCGTGGTAGCGCGCTCCTGTAATTCCGGCTACTCGGAGGGCTGAGGTGGAAGGATCGCCGGAGCCCAGCAGGTCGAGGCTGCAGTGGCCATGAGCATGCCACTGCACTCCAGCCTGGGTGACAGAGTGAGACTCCAACTCAAAAAAAAAAAGTTAAATAGAATTAACTCCTGTTGAAATGATCCAGTAATTCCACTTCTAGATGGAGTACCCAAAAGAATTGAAAGCAAAGACTCAAGCAGATGTGTGTACACCAGGGTTTATATTATTAACAATGACAAAAGGTGGGGAAAAGCCCAAGTTTTCATCAACAGATGGGTAAACAAATGTACAGTCATACAGATTAATAGTATTCAGCCTTAAAAGGGAATGAAATTTTTAAAAGAAGGAATGAACTCTTGAAAACATTATGTTAAGTGGGAAAAAAAAAACAGACACAAAAGGCCACCACATAGGCAAATTCAAAGTGACTGAAAGTAGAAGTGAGGTTACCAGGGGACTATGAGGAGGGGGGAATGGGGAGTCATTGTTTAATGGGTACAGAGTTCTGCTTGGGGTGACTGTTTGGAAGTGGCTCTTGATAGTGGATCTGGGACAGCAATGTGGATGTCCTTAATGCCACTGAGTCACTTAATGTCACTGAAAAGTGCTTAAAATGGCAAATTTTATGTTATGCATATTTTACCACAATTTTTTTTAACGTTCGTTCCTTTGAGCATTTTGTAACAGCTGTCTCCATCAAAAAAAATTGTTTTTTCAATGAATTCTGTTATGTGCGATCCTCTGTCAGAGCAAAGTCTCCTATGTTTGCATCAGTCCTGCTCCTTTTGGAATAATCGCAGAGGCAACTTAAGAATTTCTTAGGTTAAAGTGCACATTTTAAAATAGAAGCAAAGTACAAACTGCAGCCAGCTGTTCTCTTGCCATAGATGGAAACACCTTGTTTTCCAGATGACCGTCCCACTGGAACGCGGAGTGTGAGGGCTCCAGTTACAAAAGTCCACGGCGGCGGCGCTGGCGGTGGGCAGAAGATGCCACTCTGCGACAAATGTGGGAGTGGCATTGTGTAAGTTTCTTGTTTAACCCAGGAATTCACTGAAAATCCTGGTGGCGGTTCTCCGTTTCTTCTTCTTTAAGATTTTATGTAGAAAAGGCAATTATGAAAAACAAATTCTGTTCATCACTTGAAATATAAGGTCCCCAACGTTTAGCACATTTTGACCAGATTCATTCAGTGGTCAAATTGTCATATAATGCGATTCAGCAATCTTGATTTTTAATTCCAGATATACTCTCGTGATAAGAAAAAATTTGCCCCAAATATATATTAAAAAATCACTTCACTTTTAAAAGCCCTCCCTTTGTTAATGTATATTCATCGAATACTTCCTCTTCTGTGTAAGCCCAGGGAAACCAATAGAGGGGGTCATGCAGTTATGAGTTAAAATGTACTGTCTTTACCCAATCTCTTAGTTATGCAAATATTGAAATACGGTTTCAAAAAACAGAGTCAGCTTCCACTGCAAGGTACTTTGCGTTTACATGGCCACACTCACTAGTCCAGATGTCCACTCAGCCCAGATCGTTTTGATGTCTCCACTCCCACATCCCACGTGGCCACCTGGCCTATCCCTTCACCCTGTTCCCCTACCATGAGCTCACACACGGAGGCACCCCCTGTCCAGTTACCCAGGACACATCCCAAGAAGACAGAGAGCCATGCGACTTATGAGAGCAAAGGGAGGAATGTGAGACTAAAGGTAAAACTAGGCAGCAAGCTCGTGGCAGAGAGAACCCCAACAAAACGCAGCATGATGCTACCAAAAGCAAAAATGGTGCCTAGATTGGTGTGAACTCTTTTTATAGTAGAAGCGAGTTCACCCACTCGTGGAATCCCATCTCTTCTCTTTGATCTGTTTTCTCTGTGCTGCATAGACGGGAAGCTGGGCCACCGGGACAGAAAGCCACCCAAGGGACTGTTGGCTGTGTAGACAGCCGACTTGGTCAAAATCAGAATCTTTGGCAGAGGGGTTTGCCTCCTCTGTGCCACATCTCCCTCTTTCAAAGAAGTGATGAGAAAGGATCATGAAGTAGGATCCCACACGTTTTCTGTAAACTACTTGTTTGAAAGTCTGGAAAATAGTCACAGGTCTTCATCAGAGAGAAACGTGGGGTTTAGATGACGATGCTGACCCTGTGACAATCAGACACAACATCGCACACGTTTCCTGACTGTGAAACAGATTGCCCTGCCTACCTGGTGCTTTCCCCTGGCATCTCATTTTTCCGTGTGTGTGTGTGTGTGTGTGTGTGTGTCACACACGCTGGCTTTTCCCAACAGCGGTGCGTGTGTGTGTGTGTGTGTGTGTGTGTGTGTGTGTGTGTCACACACGCTGGGTGCTTTCCCCTGGTATCTCATTTGTGTGTGTGTGTGTGCGTGTGTGTGTGTGTGTCACACACGCTGGCTTTTCCCAACAGCGGTGCGGTGGTGAAGGCCCGGGACAAGTACCGGCACCCTGAGTGCTTCGTGTGCGCCGACTGCGGCCTCAACCTCAAGCAGAAGGGCTACTTCTTCGTGGAGGGAGAGCTGTACTGCGAAGCCCACGCCAGGGCCCGCTCAAGGCCCCCGGAGGGCTACGACACCGTCACCCTGTACCCCAAGGCCTAGAAGTCTGTGCGGGGCGCTCACCCGCGCGGCCGTGCGCGCCCGCCGAGACCGCCGCGCTTGGGGCAGAAGCCTCGTGCGCACTGTTGCCTCCACTCTGGAGCCAAGCCTTCCGCCCTGCGTTGTGCTGTGTTGAGGGAAGGGAAGGCAGCGCAGGCTAGCTGGCAGAAGCATCCACGCAGCCACGTTTTGCAGCTCTTTTTGTCTTTGGGGCTAGCAGTGACGACGTTTCACGCAGTGTGTTTCGTCCTGTCTCGCTCCACGACTCACGTATGTGCTGTGGCCATCAAACACGTGAAACACCAAGATATTTGAGTGGACTCGTCTTTCCTTGACAAGTCGATTTTTTAGTGGTGGTTATTGCCAAATAACACTCTTGTAATCGAACAGAATCTGCGAGTGTCCGTATCTGTATTAACCCTCACGGTGCATGTCAGGGGGACATTCCCCGAGTTTCTTTAGTTCTGTATTCAAACGGTTGTGCCACTGGATGCAACAAACATAGCAAATACACAAAACGTTTTGAACCAAGGTGTCAAACGAAGTGCCATTCAATGAGTTCAGATAAAATCGACATTTCAGTGAAAGGGCCCAATCATGTTTTTACACATACCCTGACAACTCAAATAACGTAAGGACAACGCGACCTCTTCGGGTTTTTCCTTGCGGGCGAGGGTCTGCTCACCAAGGGGGGTTCACGTTTGCTGGTGGGAGGGGCGAGTATCTTTCTGATCGAAGGGTTCCTTTTCCCGGACAGTCTCTCGGTTCGATGTCTCTTCGGGATCAGTACTCGGCCAGTTCGAGCGTCCAGCTCCGCGGGCCGCGCCCCCCGGCCGCCGGCCCCTCCCGAGATGCGTCCCCGGAGGAGGCCGCTCGGCCTCCTGGGCGAGCGGGGGCCGCGGGCGTCCCA